CGGAGACTGTTTGGGAGCTCCTGACACAATCAGTGCGTCAGTAGACTGCCGCGGGAGAAACCCCTCAACACAGGTCTGCGGTGCTGCCCAAGCATCCTCTGGGCTGTAGAAGTAGCACGGTATGTACCTTAGGCTGTACTTGTCATCTGGCTGGATCGAAAGAGGGCAGAAGGCATTTACACCACCAATTGTCGCAACGAGTCACTACAGAAGACCATAGAAGACCTACCTGCCAACAATGGCAAGTTGAAAAAAGCTGCTCTCTGGGCTGGTTCATGACTCAAGACCGCTTAGAGCACTGGGATTCCTGCTTGCAATGCCAACTTCACACCAAGCAGAAGGACAGTACCAATGTGCTGAAAAGATTCCAGCTTGGTCCCCTGTGCTGAGATGCTGGCACTGCGCTGTCCGGACTGTGAATGAGGTCTGAGCCGTGCCAGCCTCGACTCCGGCGCCACGGGCCATCCTTTGCAGCAAGAGATGCAGGCTTCTGCCATGAACGCAGCAACTCCGTCGAGACCCCTACCCTACTTTCGAACCCTTTCAGCATAGCATGCAACATGATTTATGCGCCTCCCATTCTCGCATTCGCATTCGAAGATGCGAGGAGCTTTCCTCCAGCCAGCGCAGCCAGGCAGGAAGCTCGTAAGCCTGGAAAACAATGAGAAAAAACAGCTTCTTGTTTCTTAACGGCCACCTTCCTACTACGACACAGTGCAGATGAGAGGATAACGGCATCGGCCTGTGACCGACGGCGAAACCTAGCCAACTTCAATGACAGTCTAAGGTAGTACTGCTGCAGCAGTCTCGTTCACACATTCCAATCATCTCCTGCCTTTCGCGCTCGTGCTCGCTTGAGGCGCACCTGTGACTTCAGCAATGGTACTGCCTGGGCCTGCGGCTGTAGGCCTGCTGCAACCCAAAATCGAACCCAATCTGCCCAGGTCAAGGCACAGCCAGAATCCCCAGCAGCACTACGCCAGCTCCAGCAGCCGCCAGCGCTTGCGGCTTGCTGACTTGCGCCATGGCTACACGCGCGAAAGAGGTTGGCCCACGTTCCACATGCGTTGAGAACGAAGAGGTACTAAGTTCTTCGCAGAATTGAAATGGAGAAACAGGGACCAGCATGCAAGCATGGGTGAAGGATCGAAGGGCATCTAAACCTCCAGCTCGAAAGATGTCCACCCTAGATATCGTTCCAAGCCTCTGCACTGCAGCCGTAAGACACAATGGCTGCAGCAATGCAAACTCAATCTTCGGATTCAACGTTCAAACCGCACTAGCCCGACCTGTGGTAAACCTCGAAGTGTCGTCAGGGCGGCTTGCTTCACACAGTGCAAGGTGCGGACACACTTTTTCTACGCAACTCCCCATGCCCCACTGCGCATCACGATTACTGTGAGGTTCGAGCTCTGATGCTCCCCTACCAATAAATGCGAGGATGATGTTCCGGGGTTGGACAAACGGGCGTCCGTCCCTCTCAAGTCTGGCAAGCAAGCTGTTCAGCCGACCTCGTTCGTGCCTACCCCAGAGCATCCTTGGCAAACCCCGGTGTGCCGCCTTTCTTCCATCCATTGCCTAAAACATTCTCTTGGCAACGGCAGAAGCGACAGCTTCCCCTGAAAGGAAAACTAGGACAGGCGAAGTCTTTCCTAAGCCACTCCACCTTTCGTCGGCTAAGAGGCTTCGGACCGTACCTCCTGAAAGGATCACTCGGAGGAAAAGAAGGAGCGATCCATAGCCAGCTGCTTGAGCTGGCTGTGCGCAGCTTCGACCGCCTAGCAGGAGCAGCGAGGCAGGCAGAACCCTTCATGCAAAGGTACACACATGCATATATATATATATATGCTACCCCCCCCTC